GCCAATGTCCACCATACTGAATTCAATCTATTGTGAAAAAAATCCAAGGTTGGCATGTAATCGGATGCATGCCATATAGATGATTATTGTAGCCCCCTTGAAACAAATTTTAATATTCATTTCAAAATAGTAAATGGGCACCATGAAGCATTTTGACACAACTCTGCCCGGAAAAATGCTTCACATGCATGAGCACACCTACAGCCACACCTTATATGATTTGGTTTAAACGATAGAATTTTGATCACTGAAAATCATGATGTTGTATGATCTTACCATTGATATTAATATCCAAATTGTGTTTGACCTAGCTTATGAATAACTATCTTGAAATGATATTTACAGGCACAACAGAACCATTAGATACATCACTTGTTGTTCGGTAATCCAGTCATTTTATATATTGTCAATCTCAGTCATATATATTGTTGTCAATCTAACTTTTGTTTATCATTTCAGACATGCCAAATCACCACGAGAAGTAAAAGCGCAGAAGAATATAAATTATGATTTCTGATAATGCATGGTTCAAGTGCTTGGACTCAAAAAAGAATAATTAATATTTTTTCCCGAAAAGTATGCATATCCTCTGAACATAGGACTGACAATTATGCATAATATCTCAAACATTTTATTGCAATAATCAAGTCTTTGGAATTATTGTACACTCCAAGTTGACCTATTGGATCCCTAAGTAAGTTCCTGTAGATTGATTATTTTAACAAAAGTGATAGAAAATTTGCTTCATTTTACCAATGCTAAAACAAAATAAAGGAAAGAAATAATATATTCATCTTCAACTTAATATGTAAACTTCAAATCAGCTAAATAAGCAAACAACTTATTGTATATGTTCAGGTAAGACACCAGTGAAATGGATAATGCACTGCCAATAACATACTACACTTTTTTCCTTCAGAAAACCGATAAAATGGTGGGAAAGCATGAATGGTCACATTGCATGTTAGTCTTCCAAAAGGGTGCAGGTAATTAATAAGAAAAACACAGTTCATCTTGAGGGGGAAAAAAAAGAACAAGCAGATGATACAAGTTATTGACCGGACTAGAGCAATGGATGTCCAAATTAGTGGTGGGATAGCATACCATCGGCTGCATCTGTTGCCAAAACTGAAAGATTAATAGGAATGTAAACCTCAGCAGCATTGAGGATGGGGGGAAGGGTGGAACCGGCCACCCTTGTCAGATTAAAATAACCATATAAACCTGGGTACGCCAGCTGATGGATGAAATGGACATGAGTTGCCAGTAGATATGCAGGACTGATGTTGTCACTATCGGGTTCCCCGTCTGCTCTCACCTGAAAAATTCTACTTCCATTCCCACTTAAATAGTCGAAATCAGCAAAGTGCAAATAGATATAGAATGTTGTTTGAACACTCGAATTGAGGCCATAGCCCAAGGAATGTTGCAATGTAAAATTATCTGCAGCAACAGTTGCAGTCCCCATGACCACGCCTGGGACCTCATAAGCATCACCACGAGTGGTCTTGATGCCCAAAGAACTGCTTGTAAAATTCCATGTTCCACAGTCAATATAACCATTGCAAGGACGCCATGTCCTGTCATATTTGTCTTGTGGATACCTGTACAGCATGAAATTTGTGAACAAATCTATATTATTAAGACAGATTTGATTTTGACAGACACAACCACTTTTCAAAGGCATAATAAAGAGGGATTATGCTAGTCGTGTTCCTTAAGACTCCTTCGCCACACACGACAATGTTAATCATTGTCCTCATCGAGTTTGCTGTCCTCTCCCAAATTGTGGTAATTATCTATCTCCTGGGATCTCCTATTTCTGATCACTTATTTATATCAGATACATGTGATTATTTCTGAAGTGTTGGTCCGCTTATCTTTTTGTTGCATTACTGGAGTCTATAGCAAATTAGTGTAATCAAATCATAACATTATGGTAAGTTCATGTAGCTGCTTGTTCTTCGTGTCTAACTTGTGTAATTAAAGAATCATAATTACGGTATTGTTCATTGTAATTTCGCTTCTATAGATAATTAAACTTGGATCTTAATCGGGTTTGATTTAGCCTAATAGTCTTTTCTAGCGATGAACACTTTTACTGGACATCTGTGGTTAAAATTGAGAGTCAGTTTAATCAAAATTGTAATTGAAGAGTATACAGAGTCAATTACTTCTACAGTGCAAATGAGTCTTTATGTTTGTTTCAATTTTTTGAGATAACCACAAACAGATTATAACACTTTGTTCCCTTTATAGAAGATCAAGGCTCCATCCCTTTCCAAAATTTCCGTAGTGATTCGGCCTAAAAAGAACTACCATAACCAATCAATAAAGGAAAGCTAGGAGAAAACCGTCGGGTTCAAGAAATCCCCTTTCTCCATGCGAGGCACGAACAATGTACGATCCGCATGGGAGAAGAAATTTCAGCAATCATGGAGTGGAAGGTCTGCGTTTACCTGACGGTGTCGTTGGTGAGGGATCCCAAGTTGTAGCGACTGTAGAAGAGTAGTGCAGCGGATTGATTCGCGTCCTGGTACGCCAGGTGGTTGTCGATATGCCTCAACTCCAGCAAAGATATGAACGGCGTTCCCGAACCAATGTTGGCCAGGCATATCGACAGGGAGTCGGACGGGGCGGCAGTAACAGGGCCTAATAATGCCATATAACCCAGAATAATAGAGATCAAGATGGGTAAGACTAGTAATATTCCCCAACCATTTGGGTAAGGTGGAGTCGAAATGATTATAGGAGAGATCAAGGACGGTAAGAGAGGAGGTGAAGTTGACATGGACAACAGAAGCTGGGATGGTATCGAGACCAACATGAGACATACTTAACACTTGGAGGGATGGCAGCGTGTTCACGGATGAGAACCAATCTGGGGCACCGGTTAGCTTCAACCAGCTCAAGTCCAGGTTCTTCAGGGAGGTAAGATGGGAGAGCCAGTCGAGGTTGTCTAGGGATGTAAAATCTAAAGCATCGCTTAGATCAAGAACGTAGAGGCTCGAAAGGTTCCCCAGCCGAGCAGGTATTCCTCCCATGAAATATGTAGAAGATAGATTGAGGTATCTCAGTTTCTTGAAGGAGCCGATGAATTCCGGTATGCGGATTCTCCTGAAATCATTGACGCTAAGATCCAAGTGCTTCAAATGAGATAAAGCAAGCAATGACGAGTTCATCATCCTCTCACCGCGTAATGCCCGATCAAACGTATTCCGGAGGTCGAGCATGACGACGTGGCCAGTGGTGGTGTCGCAGGTCACTCCCTTCCATGTGCAGCAGTCTTGGCCTACCCAAGAAGATAGCCGGTTATGGGTGTCGTGGATGCCGGCTTTGAAGTCCAACAGTGCCTCCCTCTCCATGCTGAAACACCCACTTGTCACCGTGGCCCGGTGGAGGAGGAGGGCCAAGAGGCACAACGACAATGATGATAAGAAGCGTAAAGGGAAACCCATGGCGCGCAGTTTGATCTCCCTCCCTCCCTCCCTGCCTACTCCTAGCCGCCACAATCAGAAGAACAGGGCGAAGGTGGAGGTGCATGCTACGCTATGCCGAATCACAAATTTATAAGCCAACTGATGCACACAATTTCTTCCATTCCATGGTCAAATTTCCATATCATGCATGGAATTAATTGTACCGACTTTGACTTATCAGCCCAATCCAAGTTTCGTGGCGATGCGGAGAGCACCTTCACCATCGGAGACTTCATATGTGACGAAAGGGGTAAGAGTTGGGATGGACGGAACTAGTGGTTATGATGCAGAGCATCATGTGGATCATGAACGTGAAGCCAAGTATGCATAGAATTGATCGAGACTTCACCACGTTGACTCAGAAACAGTTGACTGACTGAAATAACAAGAGTGCAAAATAGTCGGTATTTCTTTTTTTATTTTTAAATTTTTTAATTAGAATTAAATTTCTTCGGTACCTAATTTACTTGGAAAAGTAGACTCTTTGGAGTTTCATTTTTTTGGGAAGAAAACCTGTTAATGCGGAATAATTCTTTTCCCTCTTTGTGTATCAAAATAGGTTCCTCATCAAAATACCAACTTGATATCGAAATGCTAATATCAATGAGCAATAAATCAATCACACAGTGAGACCAAATCTTTTTAACGTGGAAAACCCAATGTGGGAAAAAGCACGGGACCGTAGTCCACCTCAAACTTCCACTATCAATGATAACAGATTTACAGTAGGTCTTCTCTAGAATAACTAGAGGATCAGAATAACATCAAGATCATAGATCTTGGCTTAAGGATAGCATATCTTCATCACGTAGGATGGATCTCCTCAAAAGAAAATTCTAGGTCTCACAAAGTAGATATCACAGGAAAGTACCTTAGAGAGGGTAAACTGTAGATCAACACCATTAGGATTGTAGAGTTTACTGCAAGGATTCTCCACATAAAATTTGGGTCAAAACTGACAACGTTTGGCCACCGATCGTCAAGCAGAAATCTCAGAAACCTAATCTTTTTCTCTCTCTATTTTTCTCTCCTCTTTCCTCTGCGCGTCGCCGCACGCTCACTGTCCACGCAGCCATCACCCAATTTTGCCCTTTCTCTCTCTCTCTTGATTTCTTTGATTTGGGCTCATGGCCCAAATTTGTCCAAGCCCACATATGGACTGGACCCAACAATTCTCCCCCTCCAACTCATATGATGGGCTATACCAAGCCCGCTCTTCGTCTACATGCTTCAAGCTTCTCCTTAGGCAAAGACTTTGTCAACATATCTGAACCATTATCATTGGTATGCACCTTTTCCAACTGTAATTCTTTCATCTCAAGCACATCACGAATCCAGTGATATCTCACATCAATATGCTTGGATCTAGAATGGTATGTTGAATTCTTGGAGAGGTGAATAGCGCTCTGACTGTCACAGTAAACAGTATATCCTTCCTGTTTCAAGCCCAATTCCTGTAGAAACTTTTTCATCCATAAAGTTTCCTTACAGGCTTCAGTAACTGCTATGTATTCTGCTTCTGTGGTTGATAGAGCAATACACTTCTGTAACTTAGACTGCCAAGAGACTGCTCCTCCTGCAAATGTCATCAAGAATCCCGAAGTAGATTTCCTGGAATCAGTATCATCAGCCATGTCTGCATCTGTGTACCCTTCTAACACAGGTTCATCACTGCCAAAACATAAACACAACCTGGAAGTACCTCTTAGATATCTTAATATCCATTTCACTGCTGCCCAATGTTCCTTTCCAGGATTAGAGAGAAATCGACTGACAACTCCAACTGCATGAGCTATATCTGGCCTAGTACAAACCATAGCATACATTAAACTGCCTACTGCAAATGAGTAAGGCACTCTGGACATTTCTTCTTTTTCTTTCTCACTTGTAGGACATTGTTTTGAACTCAGCTTGAAATGACCTGCAAGTGGAGAACAAACTGCTTTGGCCTTACTCATGTTGAATCTTTCAAGGACCTTTTCAATGTAAGTCTCCTGAGATAGCC